CCGGATTTTTCTCGCTTTTATCTCCAACAGGTAAAAAACGATAAAAAAACTGTCGGCCACTTGAAAATAATGCTCTCAGGCGCCGTAGCCTAGGTTTCTCACTGCGCGGGAATTCAAATTCTCGTCCCTCGGCGGCACCTTTTGGAATTTTTTTCATTTTCAACGGCGTTTTTCGAGGATTTCGGATTTCTTTTAAATTTTTTTGCAATAATATTAGGAAAATAGATAACTTTTAACACATTTTAATGCAATAAAAATTTTTGGTCGGAGGCCCCCTTTAAGGATGAAACAATCTTCCGATTCTCGAATTGGGTCAAGAAATTGGGGGACGAAGATAGCGACAAGGAGGCAGAGGAGAAAGAGAAAGAACTCGCGGAAATTGCCGAAACTAGATTTCTGGAAAACAAGCAAAAATTCCGAAGCTTGCTTATCGAAAGGAAATTCTCCGCAGAAGAATGGACACTCATGAAGCAATTCCTTGACTACCCAGAGCTAGCAGCGATCGTGGTCAAAATGCGTCGATCTCAAGGAGTTCCAGGACTCAGACAAAATAGACGACGCTGCCTTACCTGTGAGGAATCACTGGCAGGGATGCCACTGACCGCACACAAAACAGAGAATTGTTCCATCCCATATGAAAGCCGAATTCTGGTCAGTAAGCGACTGTTTGGACAGAGAAAATGTTACGGATGTGGACGAATGAAGGAGGATGGAAATTGCAATTGTAAGAGTGTGCCATGTCGCAGATGCTGGAGATGGAACGTGCCAGAATCATTTCCACATCTTCAAGTAATGGGAACATGTCAGATGGTGTGGAAAATCAGACAGGAGACCGGACACGTTCCTACTGAACACGAGATCTCGGATTATACAAAGCGAAACGACAAGATAGCTTCAATAATTCAACACAAGTTGGAAAAGTTTGTGGCAGAGACAGAAAGAGAACTTGTGGATGCGGGAAGAGCGAGCAATCAGAAAACGGAGGCCGAATTGTGGTGGTAAGAGACGAAGCGAAGCGCCAGGAAAAATTCGTGGACACTACAGGGTGGCCGATAAGTATAGGACGCTCGCTTTCAGCATTCCCTGGCACGGTGCCAAGGGATATTTTCGAAAAATTTCGAAACTTTTCGAAAGTCCAGAGACTATATAAGTAAGCTTCTCAGTCATTTGTTCTCACTTCTCCATATCGCCGAGCTATGAAAAGTTCTCCTCATCGTCCTTCCATTGAACTCTTGTTCAAGAGAGGCCTCGGAAGTGCTGAGATCGCTCGACGCCTTCAAATTTCGTCTTCGACGGTTCGAAACGTTGTCGCTGCTATCAAAAAGCGAGGAGATGCTTCTGAAGTAAAAAAAAGCGGACGTCCACGTTCTGTCAACACCCGGAATACTCGTGCAATCATCAAGAAACGGATCATTCGAAATGATGGATTGAGTCTCAATAGGATGGCGTCACGGCTTGGAATTGCCCGATCCACTGTCCAATCGATTGTCAAGAACGACTTGAAGCTCAAAAGTTACAAACTACGTCGTGGACAGTACCTCTCGGACAAATCGAAAGCGATGCGACTCGAAAAATGCCGAAAATTACTCCAGCACTTTCAAGTGCGCCGCGTCTCTGACGTTATCTGGACAGACGAGAAGATCTTCACTATTGAACCTCTTCCCAACCGTCAAAACCAGAGACAGTTATTGTCAAAGGATGACAGCATGTCTCCGAAACGTCTTCTTGCCCATAACCGCCTTTTCCCGAAAAGTGTCATGGTTTGGGCCGGTATCACGGCAACCGGTAAAACTCCGTTGGTTTTCATTGAAAGAAATGTGAAAATCAACTCGGAGGTGTACCAAAAGATTGTGTTGATGGATAATTTGTTACCCTGGGTCACTCAGCACTTTGCTGGTGGTCCATTTATCCTTCAACAAGACTGGGCACCGTCCCATGGCTCGAGATCGACATTGGCCGTCTTGGAGGCGCATTTCCCTGGATTCCTGGACAAGAACTTGTGGCCTGCTTCCAGCCCGGATCTCAATCCGATGGATTTCAGCGTTTGGGGCATGTTGGAAGGGAAGATCGCGGGAAAAGTTTTTGCTACTGTCGATGACTTGAAGGCCGCTCTCGAGGTAGCATGGGCTTCGATCGACGACGGATACCTGCGGCGCACTGTCAATTCGGTGAAGAAACGTTTGAGAGCCTGTGTCAAAGCTCGTGGATCCAACTTCGAATTTCTCTTGTAAAATCAAATTTTCTGCTTATTTTTTGTTGTTTAATAAAGGTTGTTCTCGAAAAATCCTCAAATTGAAAAAATGGGAGCACTTTCAAAACGTCCTATACTTATCGGCCACCCTGTAAATTCAATAAATTCATCTCTAATTAAAATTTATAGTAATATTGTTTCGTATAATCTCCATTGTTTCCACAAATTTGACAATGCTAGTAAGCATGCTTCCTAATACTGTGCCTGTGGTTTATGAATGTTGAATAAAATCAAAACCAGCACAGTCTAGTGCGCAAGTCGGAATGAAAAGGAGACGAGAGCAGAAACAGAAGATTCAGAACAAGCCCGCAACATGAAGGAGCAAGAGAAGGAAATCGTAAGTATTTCTAATTGAGATATTGGGGGTACGATGAATTCGAACTTTCTCGAAATCGAACTGTCCCGAAATCGAACTCATTTAAATTAGAACTGTCTCTTTTTCGAAAACGCCCAGAACAGAACAAGAACGGAATCGAACTGTTCCAACTCGAACTGTGCGGTGTCGAACTGTCCCGAATTGGAACTCTGTTAGCAACAGGGCGCGCTTGCTTTTTTTAAATTATTTTTGTCAACAAATTTTGCATGTTTTTTCCAGAAAATAACTTTTTTCACTTATTTTGTATATTTTGCGAATTTCTCTTCCCGTTTCGAGAAAATAAACTTTTACAGAAAATGACTCCTCGTAAAAACAAGCCGATCGTTCAAGTTCAAGGATATGCAATGCGATTCAAAAAAAAAGAACGAAAATGGAACAGAGCTTTTTTACTGTGTCGAGCGGTAAAAAATTGCAGCTTTACTATAAAACAATATTTTTCCAGAGAAAGACGAGCTCGATGTGATGCAGCTTATCTTTTCGACAGAAGGAACAACACGTTCACTGTTAAGAAGCAACATGTGAGACACGACGAGGATTTTGTCAGAAGTGAAGTTAGTATCAATCTATAGAATGTAACAGAATAGTCGTCACAGCAAACGATTTTTCTTCAGGCATTCCTCGCGCGCCAGGAATTGAAAAAATGTGCGAATGACGGAAAACCCCGCGAAGTGGTTGATGATGTTAGAGCCAAGTTCTCTCGAGTTGCTTCAGTTGCTTGTGGTTAGTACACAACATCATAAAGTGGCTTATAAACAATTACATATTTTTAATAGGATCCTATGACGCAAAGCGAAAAATCATTGACACTGCGAAAGGAAGAAAAGAAGACGATGTTATTGAGATGGATAAGGGTGGAAACATTGCAAACGTGTTCTCACAAACTAAAGGTAAACACAAAGTTTTGACATTTGAAAAATTCAATTTCAGATGGACAGAGATTTCTAGTAAAAGATGAGCAGTTCAAACAGCAACTGGCTCATCACGGATTCTTGTATTTGCTTCAGATGTCGGTCTTGAGTTGCTTGCTAATTCGGATACGGTTTTTTGCGACGGCACCTTTGATTGTGTTCCGGCACCATTCGCTCAACTCTTCACACTACACGCATACGTGTGTACCGTCTTGTTCTTATCATGTAAAACATTCAGTTGCAGGTATCTCCGACTGTCGTTCGCCCAGTTGTTTTTTTTCCTTCTAACGGACAAACAAACATCGTCTTATGAAGCTGTGTTGAAAATTGTGCTAGAAAGCCACCCGTCACTGACTCAATGGAAACCTGCTACAGTCATTTGTGGTAAAACTGAACTGGAAATGCAACCGAAAATTGGAAAAAAATTGCAGATTATGAAACCGGACTGAAAAATGCATTCGAATCACAGTTTCCAAGAGCCAGTGTACAAGGGTGCCTATTTCATCTCGTGCAATCCTGGCGCAAGAAAGCTGAAAAGCTTCAGTGCTACAATGAATTCATCAGTGAGCCGAAGTAGTTTATGTACCCACTGAACCTTTTTTTTCAGAAGGAAATATACAGGATTTCTGGGTGAGAATAAAAGCAATACCATTCATCGTGCCGACCGAAACTAAAAATTTCTTTGATATAATCGTTTCAACAATTCCGACACCAATTCCTTCAAATGTTAAAAGTAAATTTTCAATTATTGCTTTCACTGATAAGAAAAAAATCAATTTTCAGCTTTCATCGATTACTTGATCAAGTATTATATGGAGGACACCGTTCGATATCCGCCCAAAATGTGGAGTTGTGCGGACCGAACGATGAATGGGATACATCGAACAACAAATGTAGTCGAGTCGTGGCACAAACTATTATCGGTAAAACTGTTTTTAAAATAGCATTTTCCTGAAAAAATTTCATTTACAGAGTGTTCGATCCCAAAAAAACGGTCTCGCCCCACTCATGCTGCCAGATATATTGGTGAAACTGAAATCGGAAGAGATGCATACAAAGATGGATTGGAATGAGTTGAAAATAAATCCGAATTTCCAGGTCTGTTTCTACACATGAACACCTAAATTGATTTTTTACTACATTCAGGTGAATCGAAACAGAAAGCTCACCAACGCATTGAAGGACGGGAGATTCATCAAGACGCTAATATCAGCCAATCCCGCCAAATATGCCTTTGATTGGTCTCAATTTATTAGACACCATCTCCGACGCCCATTCTGTTTAAAAGTCATGAATTCTTTCTTTTTTAACACATATTTTCTATTTTCAAATTGTTTTTTCCTCACTGTATTCAAATAAAAACGCTTTTTTTGTTGTAAAAATAATATTTTTCTGGAGAAAACTTGAAATTTTCAAAGGTAATGCAAGCGCGCTCTGTTGCTAACAGAGTTCCAATTCGGGACAGTTCGACACCGAATCAGTTCGAGTTGTAACAGTTCTATTCCGTTCTTGTTCTGTTCTGGGCGTGTTCGAAAAAGGGACAGTTCTAATTCGAACGAGTTCGATTTCGGGACAGTTCGATTACGGGAAAGTTCGAATTCATCGTACCCCCGAAATTTTTCTTTCTTCCAATTTTCCCCGTGGAATTTCAAAATATCCCCGTACTCCTGGACCATTACTAGCTATAAAAGACCAAGGATTCCAGTAGATTTCAGATTAATCTTGAAAATTGAAGTTCGAAACTTAAAAAAGAATTGTGTGGGTAGAAGAAAAAAGTTTGCACATGACAAATCATAAAAATCAAACTCCTATAAAAATCGGAGAAAATCTATCGGAAAACCAAAAATGCAATTCTTCTCTCTAATTCTTTATTTTCTGGTTATTTTTGTGATTGCACGGCGAATAATATTGGAAATCGAGTGTTTCTGATTTTTTTCTGATTTATTGGCGCTTTTCTCGATACAGGGGAAAATCAGCTTTTTTGGCATTAAAAAATTCTGGGTCTAAAATTTTTTTTTCAAAATAAGTATAAATTGTAGGGAATTTGAAAACAAATCAAATGATCTAAAAAACGTCGGATTTGGCCCAAAAATAAAAGCCCTGATAGATTTTCTAAAAAATCTACTGAATTTTGTCATTTTTGAAGGTTTTTGAAAGTTTTCAAAAAATCTGTCGAACCATTCTTAATGAAAATATTAGGTTGTTCCGAAAGTCTTTTACATTTTTTGGCATTTTTTCAACAAAACTGTATTCAACGTTCGAAGTATTTCAGCAAGTAATATATTGTTTATTATAGCCCATCAAATCCTGTCAACGTTCTGGTAGCTGTTTGATGTCTCTCGCGTAGAACTCGGGTGGTTGCGGCACGAAGAAGGCACCCATATACGATTTGAGGTCCGATCTTCTTTGAAAGCGTTCACCCTTTTAACCATTTAAAAGCGAGCTCATTAAATAAAATTCTGTTAGAGCGAGTTCTGGACTATATGATGGGTGACCAAGCATTTTGATACTTAGACGCTGCATTTTTTGACGAGTGGCCAAAGTCGTGTCCAAGTGCGCATTATCGTGACTCAGCACAACTGTGTCTGCTTCTGGGCGCAGTGGGGGATATGCATCGAATAAGTTTTGCAGTTGGCGACAGTACATGTTCGTAGTAACGATCGCCCAATTCGGAGAAAGCTCTCTAAAGATCAGACGTGACAATACCATCAAATGCTCAACATCTCCCTTTCTTCACGAATTTCTCCAATGTGATTGATTTCTGGAGTTTGGCAAACCTTGACCCACTAACGCTTTCTGTTTTCTTCAATCTACAGACACCCTTTATTGTTTCCTGATGCAAGATAATGGATCCCATCAAAGGTTCGCTCACGAGTGAGCAAAGACCAACTCAAGCCACAACTAGTTTTAATCTTGGAAACACTGAAATGGTGTGGCTCCAGTCGACCATATTTTTCTCTGTGCCAGGAACATCAAAGATAATGAAATGCAGTTGTATCAGGTTGGCCAATAGTTGAAGAAACTTTACGAACAGTGAGTCTCGGCTCAGCTTCCAGCGCCTTCTAGATATCGGCGTCGATGCTTGGAAATATGTTATCAAATTGAGTTTTCTCTTTGAGCAAATATTCGCCGTTCCGAAAGCGATTAAACCAAGGTCGCACTACAAGATACTCAAGTGACTTGTCACCAATTACGGAACATATAGATCGATGAGCAGTGGCAGCGGGTTCTCATTTGAGAAACTCAAAAAGAAGGCAACCTCACGCATCATGGGTTTCGTTGGCGAGGCTCTCGGCCATGGACTGAGATTTTTTGGAATAAACTGACAATTTGTATTGAACATGAGTTAAATATTATCAAAACAAAAAAAAGAAAACGAAAATCGATCGGGAAGAATGTATAAAATGCGTGCTCAAAAATGTAAAAGACTTTCGGAACAACCTAATAGGTAGGATTTGTCCAGAATTTTACTAGAAATTTGCTGATATTAAAGGGGGACTCCGACCAAAAATTTTTATTGCATTAAAATGTGTTAAAATTTATCTATTTTTCGAATATTATTGCGAAAAAATTCAAAGAAAATCCGAAATCCCCGAAAAACGGCGTTGAAAAGGAAGAAAATTCAAAAAAAAGTGCCGCCGGGGGACGAGGATTTTCAGTGAGAAACCTAGGCCACGGCACCTGACAGCCTTTTTTTCAAGTCGCCGACAGTGGTTTTTTACGTTTTTTACCTGCCGGACAT